GGGAGGCGGTGGTGGGGAAGAGACAGAAATCTTTAATTAATAAATAAATAAATAAATTAATTAAAAAAAGATTGTGAGGGCTCGGATACATCAGTGGACCTGACAATTGGGGGATTCATAATTTATAATAATTTTGACAGCATTATTGAGAAGCTGTGGCAATGTTAGGAGTTGAGGACTGGTTGTGAAAGATGAGGTTTTTAAAGGTGTGTCCTTGGGAAAAAAATTTAATACACCCATTGTAAAAGTTGTATACTCTACCAAGGTTCATAAGTCCTATTTTTCTCCTTCCTTGTCTTTTTAATTCTTCGTTTGCTAACAGTTACCATCTCAGCTTCACAGAGATCGCATTTGATGCAGCCTTGATGTTCATCTATATACATAGTAACATTGGCCCCAATTACCACGAATCAGTTTCCCTGTGAACTTTTTCAACCTCCTCCTGGTATTCAAACATATATGGACCAGTGATTGCCTGGTTCATAGACGTCCATATTCCTCTTCAGTTCTTTCTCTAGCAAAGTTCTCCCAACCCACAAACATTATCTCTCTTGCCCCTATAACTTGCTTCATGTTCCTATAGATTGGACCTCGGATTTCTTATTTACCTGCTGACTCAGAATCAGAAATGCCTTTTGGAGGATAATTTTGTCAATCAACAACAATGCAGCCATGACCGAGGACAGAATGTCAAGATAAATCAAGCACGTAGACGAATGGCAGCAGCAGCTCAGAAAGAAACGATGTAGACACATCTGACGTCTGGTGCATTTGATGAAGGACTTTCTACATTCCGCAGGGTAGCCTTGCACTCAAGATTCTCCAGCCTCAGCCATGCCCCACTGAAGGGAGGACTCTAGCCAGCCCGAGCGAGCATGGCTCCACTTCCTCTGCCTTGCTAAAAAGCATTGGTTACATTCCTAAAGCTCCTAGGTCTAATCCCTTACTTGGCCACTTCCCCACCTGAAGCTAAGGTCCAGCTATCAAAGTACTGAAGTTCAGGAATCAAAAGCTCCCTTTGGCTCACTTAATGAACATACCCAATTAAAATTAAACACTTCATCCGAACATGGGGTTTCCCTCTTTACCTTTATAAACTGCCACTTTCCTATGTGCCACACCTGTCTCTTTATCCAGAGGCCATCCTTTGTCATTGTCACCTACCCCAGAACAAATACCCTTTCCCCTTCTACCTTGTTCCCTTCACCTTCTCCCTCATACTCTATTTCCTGTCTTTGCCTCTTACTCCCTGCCCTTGTCCCTCTGAAGAGTATAAATCTCCTTTGTGCTGGGAAGTTGGTTCTGGGGGTCCTGAGCAAACTGTTTCCTTTCACCTACTGAATATAAAAGAAAGAAATAGAAAAGAAAGGACTTGACTGCTTCTAGGAATGGTGGAGGAGAAAGTGTGTTGTAGATAAAAGGGAGAGGCAGGCACAGCATAGCCGTGAGAGTCAGAGTGAGAGTCAGGGTGGATGCGACCAGATCGAACGGAGCTATGTGCGGAGAGGGAGATAGGAATGGAGAGAGGGACAGGGGAACCAGGTGCAGCAGCCAGGAGGACAAAGGTCCTAAAAGGGATGGATAACCAAAATGTCTGGATTATATAGGAAAGAGCCTCTGGGGGAAGGGCAGCACATAAACCAGAAACCAAAGTTAAGTCAAGATGAGGTAAGCAAAGTAAACAGACCTATGACCCCTAGTGAAACAGAAGTAGCATTATGTCTCCCAACCAAAAAGAGCCCAGAGCCACATGGCTTTAGCACAGAATTCTACCAGATTAACAGCAACACTCCTCAAATTATTTCACAAAACAGAAATACAAGGAACATTGTCCAATTCTTTTTAGTAGGCCAGAGTTACCCTGATACCTAAACCTCAAAAAAAGACTCAACAACAACAACAACAAAAGAGAATTACAGATCAATTTCTCTTATGAACACGGATGCAAAAATTCTCAGTTAAATACTTGCAAACTGAATAAAAACATAAAAAAAAAGATCATTCGCCAAGATCAAGAAGGCTTCATTCCAGAGATGCAGGGATTATGCAACATAAATGCAATCAACAATACTAACAAATGCAGAAAAGGCCTTTGATAAAATCCAACATCCTTCATGATAAAAGTCCTGAAGAAACGAGGGATACAGGAGACACACCTCAACATAAGACAGTTTACACAATCCCACAGTCAACATCAGTCTAAACGGAGAGAGACTCAAAGCAATTCCACTCAAATCTATCTTCACTAATGAAAAGAAAAGTAACAAAAAAGGCTTTTCTTCACTCTGGTAAATTTCATAAAATTTCGTTCCCAACCTTAGACTCAATCTTTATATAGTCAAGATACCAAGACTGTGTCCGCCCATCAAGGACCTATGCTCATTTAATACCAGCTTCACCACTGTTCCCCAAACTGTGGCTCCTAATCCCTTTCCTGTGCACCTAAGTAAAGTAAAGAAGATGTAGAGCATCAAATAGAAGCGAGGCTGAGGAAGACGGGCAATGAGCTGCAGGGACAGCTTTCTATGTAAAGCTAGACTAGGCAGGTAACGATCACAAACTTGCCTCAAATATTAACTCTACATCTCTTCCTGATGCAATGGTTGAAAGCAGGAAAAAACCAGATTGAGATATTGGATAAACTTCAAATACTAAAGCCTTCAAGTTCCGGATGTCCAGTCTAATGCTGCATTCACAAGGTTTTGAGTGTCTGGAGAAGCAGCAGGATTCTGGTTATAACTGCTGGGTAAAGACAATCCCTGCCCAGAATCTCAGGGCTCAGCTCATGCAGTCCTGGCTCCTCTTTCTACCTAACTTCACTTGTATTTAAAATGTTTAGGTGCCAGGGATACTGTGGAATACAACAATAACAGAAGACAGAGGAGCACGCAATGGCTGAGAGTGAAGCTATCAAGGATCCCCAGAGTCCGTTTGTCCTCTAGAACAGCTGAGACCTTTGAACCACTTGACTGGAAACACAGGTTAGAATGGCCCTCCTCCGAGGTCCTGTCAGATGATGAACGAGACCAAGCTATCCGGGGACATAATTAACTGGGTTCCTAAAGGAGAGGAAGGGAAGCAGGGATACTGGCTCTGATGGAAGGTGGAGTCTGATGTGACAGACCTTTCTTTAGACTTCGCCACAAGACCTACTGTGTGGTCAGTGTGAGGATTCAACGGTGTCCTGAGGAGGTTTCAGGAGAGGACACGGAGCATCTGTCACAGGGCAGCACATCAGAACATACGGAGACAAGGAGGAGGTCCAGGTATTCTATGCCCATGCCTGATTTCTGCTGTGTGAATAATTGCTTTCACACTTGAGTGAGGATCCTGATGTGGACAAAAGGACCCTGGGAAGCGGTCAGCTTCCTCCACCACGGGCTTAGCAGAAGACCAGTTACTAACAGGACAAGCTAATTCAGGCCCAGCTCCTATCAAGCATGCTGCCTGGGTTTCACAGAAAACACATCTCATACTGCCAAATTTTAAGACAGAGCACGTTAAATACATGACACAGTTAGCACTTAACAGAAATATTGTACCTCAAAGCAGAAAACTTATAAGTAGTTTGGCTTTGTAGCTTTAATAGTTTGTACTGAGAAGAAATGATATATAAAGACTCAATATATAAGAATTTAAGTCCTTTATGTTGAATCACTCCTGTAGGGAACAAAGAAAGCCGTGTGTGTGTGTGTGTGTGTGTGTGTGTGTGTGTGTGTGTGAGGGAATCATGGGAAAAGCTGGAATGAGGAGGGAGAAGCGGAAATGACATAAACACAGCACTCATGTATAAAACCCACAAAAGAATAAAAAATTAAACAAAAAAAGAGGAGAAAGATACGCTTATGAGCAGACCTGGCCATCACCCTGTAACATGAACTTGCTCTCCCCCTGACACCTGGATGCAGTTTAAATCTTATTTTCTTAGGAATTCTTTCTAAAACTCCTTCCAAATGCTGATTCTGCCCTTCCCTCTTGGGGACCACAGTTCCA